GCCCAGAAGCAGGTGGGCTGGAGTCGGCCCAAAATGGTTGGGCCGAACTCGACCCAACATGTTCCTTATTTAAACTTAAGGGACGGGCTGGACCCAGCTCAGCCAACTAGGCTGGACTAGAATAGGTCTAGCCCGAAGCAACTTAGACACTAGCAACCCAGTGACTAAGTTGCATGAGATAGTGCAACATGAATAATAATTGACGTTGCATTGTTCTCATGCAATGGCAACAGATAGGAAGAAGAAGAAGAAGAGAGGAGGGAGGCTTACCTAGTGTCGAGGGAGCTGGTTGCCACACTGGTGGCGCACGGTGCGAATGTAGGAGGTGAGGCTGGTGGCTGGCTCTGGCCATTGCTGGAAGATGAAGTAGAGGCTTGCGAAAGAGAAAGGAAGCTCGCGGTTGGAGTGGCAGAGGAGAGAGGTGCTACCCTGACTGCCTTCGGAAAGGAAAGGAGCTTCATGGCAAGGTGGTGGCTGCTGCTTTTGCTGTTGCCGCAGCCGCCGAGGTCATAGTGGCAAAGAAGAAGAATTTTACAGAGGAGAGAGAGAGAAATGGTGTAAACACCATGTGAGATGGTTTGGTGGCCACTTGAGGTGGAGATGATGGCAAGAAGACAGGTGATGATGGTGCTGGTGGCTGAAAGCCACGATTGAGAGAGAGAAGAAAAAGGGTTGGTTGCATGAAAATTTAGTAGGAAAGGCTGGTTTTTGGCCAACTTCAGGTTCGATCTTTTCTTGGTGCGGGAGGTGAAGAGAACATACCTGGGAATGAAAGGAAAATGGTGAGGTTTGAAGGCTTGCTGGCTAGTCGATCAATGCTGCCGTTTGCTTCAGCTCCCTCCACCTATCCTCTGTTGGCGTTCTTCTTCTAAGTTTCCTCCTCTGCAATCTTCATTCTCCTCTCTTTCTTCTGGTTTTCTGCACTTCTTCTTCCATGTTCTACAAATTTTATATGCAAGATGATGAGTTGGTGCGGGTGGTGGTGTTGTTGCGGCTGCTCTTCCTCTTCTCTAGTGTTGCTACGGTTGCCCTTCCTCCTCATTTGTACAGTTGTTGGTACAGTTCGTGGTGTTGCTGCGACTGCTCTTCCTATGTTTTCTTCTGTTTATCTTCTCCCCTTCTGCTCGTCCCTTTTGTGTTCTTCCTCGTCCGTTTGTTCTCTGGTTTTCTTTCCCGTGCTTCCAGTCTTATTTCTGCTGAGAAGAAATAGTTGCTACTGTTATGGGGTTCGGTGGAGGCCGGTCTGGGGCTATGTTGATAGAGAGGGTTGTTTTGGGTGCGGGGAAGAAATGGCCGAGGGAGGGGAATGGCCAGGAGGGGGACTGGTTTTGGGTGCTCTCTCTCTCTCTCGTTCAAAAACTAAACCTCCCAATCCTTCCCCCAAAAAAAAACCTCTCTCCTTGCTGCAACTGCTAAGAGCAGTATTTATAGGCGTGGCTTTGCAGGGCGCACCTACGCTGCTCTCCACTCTTGGGGTCTCGGGCAACAGCATGTGGGGGTGGGGTGGGGGGGGAGGAACAGTGTCTCAAAATGATACTGTTTTGGGGACCCAAAAATGGGTTAAAAACATGCAGCAGAATTTTTACTTCCTCATTAGATATTCAAACGTGCAGATCTTGAGCTTTGATATCAAAATCGAGCGATTCAAAAACCAAAATTCATCTATGCGTGTAGGACTACAACTTTCATGGGGATTCAAGGTGAGAAATAATCGTTTTACAGGATAGAATCGGGCCGCAATCTGGTTTGGTAAAAAAAATAGTCTCCTGATCTGATTCAAAAACTGATGAATGCCGAGCATCCCGATATGACTAAGAGTATACTAAGAATGAACCAGAAAAATTATGATGGAAGTAGAATTTTTTCAATATAAAATTTGGGTCAGAATCCTGCTAACGGCAGAAATCGATCGATTCGAAAGCCCAAATTCATCTATGCATCCAGGACTACGACTTTCATGGGGATTCAAGGTGAGATATAAATGTTTTATGGGACATAATTAGGCTGCAATCTGGTTTGTCAAAAAGGGTCTCCCGATCTAAATTTAGGAAACTGACAATGCCAAGCATCCTAGTTCGACTGAGAGTGTGCCATAGGAACAGTGAGCTCTAGAACCCAATAAAGGTGTAGGTCCATTCTTCAACATGTCATGAGTGACAGAATATAGTTGGGATGGTTAGATATTGCACGAAACCAAGTCAGAATCAGGGCCTAAGTTGGAATAAAAAAATTACGGTAGCAGTAGAACTAGGGTTTTTTAGTGCCACTTTTGAGGGATTTATTTAACCTTACACCTCATGTAAAAGAGGAATGAATTTAGAATTATAAATTATCCTAATTAGCCTAAGAATCCTAACAATTTTGGCAGTAGTGGGGAAGGATAAAGAGAGCAGAAGATGGCTGAAATAGGGTTCGAAAAACATTTCTTTCTTCTTTGCTTTTGTCAATTTCCCAGCAACCTTGAACTAAACTTCTGCTTTCGATTTAAAAGGGATATCTCCAGTAGCATATATGGCTTAAGAAATGGGTAACAACAGAATCCATCATATAAATAGTTTAGTTAAATTCTTATATAGAAAAGCATTGTTAACATCTATTTGCCTCAACTCTCACCCATTCATGACAATAATAGTTAAAATTGATCTAATGGTGGCAAGTTTAACAATTCCATTGAATGTTTTCTTTGTCGACAAGTCCGGGGCATTGATTATACCCTTTTGCAACAAGACAATATTTCAATCTATCCATATAACCATTAGATTTTCTCTTCACTTTAAACACCCATCTACAACCTACATGTGTACAATTTAAAGGTGACAGAACCAAGTCCCAAGTTCTATGCTTCAAGATGGTAATGAGCTCATTTGACATAGCATTACGCCGCTGAGATTGAGATATAGCTTGGCGCACACATGTTGGTGTAAAGGTTTGTGGAAGAGGATATTTTGTCACTGTATGAAGTTGCTTTAATTATTTAATTCGTGGATCTTATTGTCATGTTATGATTCTGTTGAGTTTGAACAAATGAATTTACAATATTTTGGTTATTTTGAATTTATGTGGTTTTGGTTTGATCCAGGGTCATGGAGTTAGGGTGCGTTCCAAGTATTAAAGGAATCGATGGTGATAAATTCTCATGAATTTCATTCCATTATCATTAGAAATAACTAATGTCTAGCCAACTATAACATCAAAAGAGGTGATAATTGGTTTGATGTGACTCAATTAACCTGGTGAATCTAAATAAGATCTAGTAAAAATCTACTTTAATTGAAAATATATCTTTTTAAGATAATATTAGTTCAATTTTATTTTTTTAAAAAAATATTATGATGATAATGTTTTGAATCGACGTGAGTTAACCTGGGTTAAACAGTGAAATCTATAATTAGAGTTTTGAACTTAAATGGGTTTAATAACTCTATTTTTTAGAATCTATTTTTTTTAATTATACAATAATAAAAAGAGATTTGTGCTGGAAAGCTGCCAAATAAATTTAAAGGAAAAAAATACCATGAAAGGCTATAAAAAAAATGCTAATGTTATAAAAAAAAAAAGTGTCATAATCTTTTTGGGTGATATTATCTCTTATCTCTTAAACATAGAATTTTGAAAGATGAACAAAATGAAGTTTTGGATAAAAAACTAATGTTCTAAAGCTAAAGGGACAAAAGATGTAAAAATAAAGAAACTTTAAGGATAAAATTTTTAAAATCTTCACCTCATGTGTTTATATATAGGTTGGTTTTTATGACAACGTTTAATTTAATCCTTAAAGTTTCAATATTTCTTTAACAATAAATTTACATTTTTTTACCGAATCAAGCACCAACTTTTGCAAGCGCTCCAAACAAATTTATACAAATAAATTTTACTAAAGTTATTGACACGACTAAAAGGTTGATGTCTTCTCCCAAGTGCAGGAGTGTCGAAGTAATAAATAACCCGGCAAGACCGGGGTCGAACCACAAGGAGGTTAATTGTACAAATTATAAAAAAAAATTATAAAACAACAATAACAACAACAACAATAGTAATAATACTAGTAGTAGTAGTAGTAGTAGTA